GCTATATCTTTTGATAGCCGGGCACCATCAGCTTTCTTCGCCACATTTTCTTATGCACCCACTTATCTTCAGTGATCCGTTCGACACCCAGCCTCCTCTCTCATGTTCCAGCACTGACTTGCCTCCTTAGGCAAGTGCATGGTGATGACCCTCTCTGACTTGGTGCACAACCCAACAGCCCCAGCCCCGAGCAGCCCCCCAGCCTGTAGCTGGGGAGAGACAGCCACAGACAGCTAGCTCCGCAGCTGCCTGGACCGTGTGGCCTGGAGGGGACAGGAGGGCTGGACAAGCACAGACAGGGTCCTCAGGACTCTCTGAGAGTGATGTCAGCCCAGGTGGAGGCGCTGGGGTTCACGGGACACCCTCTCCCCAGCACTCCCTGAGGACAGCAGCCCTGGGCCCATCTACTTCCTGGACCCCAAGGTCACGCGCTTTGGCCGGAGCTGTACGCCTGCCTATTCCATGCAGGGCCGGGGCAAGTCTCGGGGTGAGTGTCTCGTCATGGTCTCAGTGCCCCCCTCCCCCTGCTGTCTTCCAGCTCCAGAACTCCCGTGTCTGACCAAGTCCCAGTGCCCATAGGGCTTGAGAGAGCCTGAAAGAGGACCCATGAACGCTGGGCAGCTGGCACATTCTTGGTGTCGGGGGCACTGGGCTCCCGGGGGTCTTTTCAGAGGCTCCAGGCTGTTCCCTCCCGGCTGGCTTCCTGGTTCCCTTCTCTCATCCACCCACTCTCCATCCGTTGGTCTGTTGTTCGTCCACTGCCCACTCACTGCTCTCTTGATGTGTCCTTCCATCCATTCAATCCACTGCCAATTCACGGACCCACTGGGCCGTCATCCACTCACCCACCCACCCACTCATCCACCCATCTGCCCATCCAACAACTCATCCATCCATCTATCCACCACTATCCATGCACCCATGCAAGCACCCATCTATCTATCCATCCACCAATCCATTCATTCACCCATCCACTCATCCATTCACTTCCTTCCATCCATCCATCTATCCATTATTCACCCATCCATCTGTTCACCCACCCAATCCAATCACCCATTCGTCCAACATTATCCATCCATCCATTTACACCCCCTCCACTCAAACAAGCATGCATCTCTCCCACTGAGAGGGCAGACATAGACCAGCCACATCCTCGCCTTCTATGAGACCAGCTTGGAAGTGGACCCAGGACCACCCCACCTCCCTGAGCATGTCTCCGGAGGGAGGGGGAGCAGACCTGGGGGATCTGGGAGCAGGCTGAAGGCTCTGCATGGAGGGAGGATCTGGGGGAGGCAGAAGAGATTGGAGAGGGAGATGGCCAGGACCCCTGCAGTGTCCATCTTGTGTCCCCTCCCACAGGTCTGGAGGTGACGCCTGGTCCAGGGACCTACAGCCCAGAGAAGGTGCCCCCTGTGCACCAGCGGACACCCCCAGCTTTCACGCTGGGCCCCCGCCTCCGCCCGCAACTGCTGGACACTTCGGCCCCCGCCCCCAACACGTACACTCTCCCCTCCCTCTGGGGTTCCCAGGTTTTCGTCAAGCCCAGCAGTCCCAGCTACACGGTGGCCGCCCGCACCCCCCCAATCCGCCCGCCGCAGAACCCCACGGAGATCCCGGGGCCCGGCCAGTACAACAGCCCAGACCCCAATGCCTACAGGCACCGGCGGCCAGCCTTCACCATGCTGGGGCGGCCTCGCGCCCCGCGCCTGCGCGACATGACGCCGGGTCCCGGCACCCACAGCCCTGAGCAGGTCACGGTGCACAAGGCCAGGGCCCCGGCCTTCTCCATGGGCATCCGGCACTCCAAGCGGGCCACCACTATGGATGCGGACACTAGCCCCTGAGGGCCAGCCGTCGCAGGGTGCTGCCCTCCCTCCCGCCCCCAGCCAGCCTGGGTCCCCCAGTGAGCTGGGGGCTTCGGCTGGAGGAGGGGCGCAGAAACCGCAGGAGGGGTCCTGGGAGCAGCACCTTGTCCCCCTTGTTCTCTGAATTGTCCGAGGTCCTTCT